AAATTATTTAAAACAGCCCAATGGAATTATGCTGGGCAAAAGTCATGTACATAGAAGTACCAGGGCTCAGAGGTTAAATACCATGCAGTAGGAATTACGGCAATATCCAGACTCAGAATAAACCTGATAGAATTACCACTCAAGAATACATACTCTCTCTTCAGTATCCAATGTAACCAGCTGGTGGAAAGCCCTTCACAGAAGTGTGGGTGCAAAGATGAAGGAGCACTTAGATACAATCTGAGCTCACCCTCTAAGCTTTGATTTCTTTTTTTTTTTTTTACAGATCCTCAGACCAGAGGGCCTGGTTCATTTTGACAGAATAAGATAATCACTGAAAAACAGAAGGAGGTTTGGTTCAGCCTTATAATGGTTTCTGTGTTAAGCGCCACAAATGAAAGTCATATTAAACTGGATTTATACAGCCCTGACATCAAAGAAAGGAGAATGAAAGAGGAAAATGTATTAAAACATGCAAAAATAATCTTTCTATAAAGCCTGACATTTATGAACATAACTCAGAAAAATACCTTAAAATTAATCTGTGGATTAAAGCAATCTGAAATGTATGGGAAGAACACAAGGATGAAGGGGGGCCAGGAGCAAACCAAATGAAATGTATTGACATTCTAAAGTCTCTTTTCATTTGACGACGAATACTTTCAAAGAACACAAGACTCTCTGTTATTAACAATTCATTTTTCTTTACAAGCTACATTCAAATTTGATCATACACAATAATATGAAAAATCCTCTTCAGGATTACCTACACAAAATTGCAGAGAAAAAAACATAAGATTATATGACAATTTCAAAGCCAAATTACAAATGTGTGCACCCAGCAGCAGATAAAAATGAGGAAAAAGAAAGGAATGATTAAGTTTTCAATTTCCCCACAAGGACTTGGTGTTAATTTCAATTCACTTATGTGCTGCTTTGAGGAGGATTATTAATGAGAAAAAAATAACCTGATGGTTTGATGATAGGAAGGTTGTGGGAAATTATTTCCTGGAGAGATTGTCACTTAGGAGCTGGGTGAGTTTCCCAGTCACTCAGAGCCTCAGTTTCTCATCTGAAAACTGAGAAATGACCACAACACCTGCCCAGTAGGATTAATGTGAGGATTTCAGTACATGATGAAATGTGAGTGCAGGGCACATGGTAGGGATTCCCCGAAAAAGAGCGATTTTTATCGACCTGAGCATGGCAAAATTTTATTCTCAAAATGCCTGTAATAAAGATCATCAATAAGCCTAACATAATCTACTTTTCTAGACTTTGTCTTTCCTTTTAATCCTTTCATGTCTACATGCAACCAGTAATAAGTTCTGCTCAATGTGTTCTGAGATGGAAGGAATCCACAAATAATGAGAATTTTTATTGAGCATTCACCATGTGTCAGGTGCACTATATGATCTTAAACAGTCTCCACAACAATCCTGTTGAGTAGGTACTGTTATTCATTTTAGTTTGACAATGAAAAAAAAACTGAAACCTAGAGGAGTTAAGCAATTTTCCAAATTACTGGAAGTGGCAAGGGGGTTAAGAGTATGGGCTCTGGAGCCAGGCTGCCTCAGCTTCCTCACCGAGGGAAATTAGTATGGGTGGTGAGCCATATCCTTTATGTGTATATTTATATATGGTGTGTGTGTGTGTTTGTGTGTGTGTGTGTGAGAGAGAGAGAGAGAGAGAGACAAAGAGAGACAGACTGATTTTATTTTAAAGACCTGGCTCATGTGATCGTGGGGGCAAGAAAATGCAAAATTTGCAGTGTTGGCTGGCAGGCTGGAAATTCCAGAAGTAGTCAGTGTTTCAATGTTGAGTCCAAAGGCAATCTGGAGACAGAATTCCTTCCTCTTTGGGGACCTCAGTCTTTTTTCTTAAAGCATTCATTTGATTAGGTAAGACCACCCACCTTATGCAGGGTGATTGGCTTACTCAGTCTGTTGACTTAAATGGTTTTCATATCTAAAAAATATACCTTCACAGCAACATCTAGACTGGTGTTTGACCAAGCACTTGGGCACTATAGCTAAGCCAAGTTCGTATAGAAAATGAAAACCACAGTCTACAGCCATACCACCCTGAACGCGCCCGATCTCGTCTGATCTCGGAAGCTAAGCAGGGTCGGGCCTGGTGAGTACTCGGATGGGTGAAAATGAAAACCATAGGTGGTGAGAATATTACTTCCCTCATAAGATTTTGGAAGGAGTGAATGAGACAGTGTAGGCACAGTACTTGGTATGCCTCAAGTACTCAGTATCTTTAGTTACTCTGGACAGAGCCTGGTATGGAAGAAGCAGTCCATAGTCGTAAGCTACTGTTATTAAGTGATGGAGCTATATCGGAACCTAGGTCATTTGCCTCCAGAGCTCACTGTCAACCTCTCAGCCTGTTTTGTCCAATATGATAGCCACCAGACAGACAGGGCTACTAACCACTTGTAACGTAGCTAGTGTGACTAAAATTTAAATTAAAAACGAAAGCAGGGAAAATTTTTAAATATTGAAATGACCTAGATTCCAGGATATGTTGGGTTAAACAAAATAGGCCAGCAAAACTAATTTCACCTGTTCCTTTTTACTTTTCTTAAATGCGGCTTCTAGAAAAATTTAAATGACACATGTGGCTTGCATTATATTTTCGATGGACCTGTGCTTTCCCAGCAACACATGGGCCTCTCCCGTGTTCATAAGACCTGCACAGGACAGGCCAAGCAGAACAAACACTACATCAGTGCCTCTTAATTTCAGTGAGGCTGCCCAAATTCTTTCTTAAAAAATCTTAACAGTAGCCCCAACCACAAAGGGAAAAAAAAAAATCGGACGTTATTTCAGTTAAGATCTTTTCGTTCATTAAAAGACACTGTTCAGAGAGTAAAAAGGCAAACCACAGATTTGGAAAAGATAGTTGCAATGAATACACCAGACAAAAGAATGTTATTATGTTGTTGTAGTTCCGGGATTTATAACAAATTCCTGCAAATCAATATGAAAAAGTCATAGAACCCAAGAGGAAAATGTGTAAAAGATCTGAACAGGTATTTTAAAAAGCAGATGTCCAAATGAGCAATTAACACATGGAATGCAAATTTGAACATAATGGCTAAAGTGAAAGTGACAGGAAACACCAAATGAGGACAAAGATGTGGCACTGAAATTCTCACATGCAGCCGACGATGAGGGGTAAATTAGTACAACCATGTTGGAGAATTTTTTTTATCTCTGTTTTCTAATTTTCCTACTAAGAGCAAGCAGGCTTCTCTCTCCCCCATCAGGGGAAAAAAAAAAAAGGCAGTAAAATTGATCTTTAACTTAAAAAGTCGGCATTTCAAAAAATATAAAATAATGAGGCAGAGAGAAGACGGCCCAGGGCTCCGCCACGTTGGAAGGAATTGTCAGCAGTTAATTGAGCCGCAGGGAGACTTTTGAGAGCAGGATCATAAACATGGTGAGCTTCAGAAATGACAAAACACAGTGCCTGATCTGTTTAAAGCAAGCCCCCGTGGGCTCCCTGCAAACTGCAGGGCATTCTTTGAGGCCAGGAACCAGAGGGGCCCTGCCAGGGGCTTTGGTGAAAGCAGGGGTTTCCTGGGGGTAGGGGGGGTTACTTTCACATTAAATCATAAAATAATTCTCTTTGGAAAAAATGTGTAACAAATGCCCCACAGAACTAGACAGATCACTGAAAATTGAAATTTGCAAAGCTTTGCTCAGGCCTTTGATATCACGCTCTACCTTAAATCTCAGAGTTAAGAGTTATTCTTGCCAGACTTCTGTTTTTGAGGTTCCTCAGCATGTTAAGCAGTATATGGGGCCCCGCTGTAGCTCTTGATCAGGGAAATGGAGAAATGATTGTCCTTAACACAAAACTCAGGGCACTGGGATCAGCTTTCTGTCTGCCTGCAAAGCCAGCTCCTTCCAAGCTCCTCCATCCCGTGGTTCTGCTCTCTGCTGAGGTACAAGTCCAGGGAGTTTGATCCTAGGGTCCATGGACCCCCTCATGTGTTTGTGGAAGGAATTCAGGGCTTCTGTGAACTTGGATGGGGAAAAACGTATTTATGTTCCCCAACCACTAATCAAAATTTCAGTACTTCATATTGAAAAGTAGCAACAAACCACAGTAATATTATCAGTCCCTATTGTCATCGACAGAGGTCAGGTATTTTCATATCATACATATTACTATATCAAAATTTAAAAAGTACTTTGATAATAGTATTTCAACATAACTGTAACCTTATGTATCGCAAGCATTTACAAATATTATTCTGAGGCGCCCATAGGCTTCACGAGAATGCCAAAGGGGTCCCCAGTGATTAAGATAGCGATTAAGAACCCCCAGCAGGACAAGAAGAGGTGGGATTGCTCAGGGCAGGGGGAATCAAGTCGAAGGAACAACACAGGACAAAGGAGCTGGGCTTTGATTCTGGCACGGGCCAGAATTGGATATGGCAAGGAGGGGCCCAGCCTGAGTGCCAGGCAAACCAGAGAGGTCCAGAATAGCCTAGTAGGGTGCTACTCTTGGCAGTACTAGAAAGCACAATCAAGGGATTGTGCCCAACCCTTTAGAGAACCTGGGGTCACTCTTTGAAGCTCTGACTTGGATTTTGGTCAGATCCAAAAACCATTTGGTTTAATCCTGCTTCCATCACTCACTTTGAACAAATTACCTAATCATGAGCCTCGGGGTCTCCATCTGTAAAATGGAGATAATATTTGCCCAAACATTTCGTTAAATAATTTACTTGTAAATATAATGTTGAACAAAGAAAGCAAGTTACAGGATGATAGATATTCCATTTATGAAAAATGTTGTGATGCAAAACAATGTTATATGACGTTTATAGGTAAAGACTTACGTAACATGTCAAGTAGAAAATCATGCATGAGAATGATAAATATCAAATTCAATTTCCTAGTGCTTACATCTGGGGAATGGAGGGAAGTAAGTTTGGGAGGTGTACAGGTGAGGGGAAAAAATCAGAAGCAAATACACGATTTGATGAAGCTCAGTAGTGGGTTCTTTTTAAAGCTTTATTTAAGTGACCTATGATAAGCTGAACATATAAAAATGTACAACTTGGTCAGTTTTCATATATGCGTATACGCATGAAACCATCACAATTAAGATAATGATCATATCTGCCACCCCCAGGCTCCACATACCCCTGTGTAATCTCTTCATCTGGCCTTTCCCTATCCCCTACTCCGAGATGATCATTGATCTGTCACTATGGATTACCTTGAGTTCTCTAAAATTTTATATAACTGGAATCATATACTTTTTCTTTCTCATTGGGTTCTTTCACTCAGCATAATTATTTTGAGATCCATTCATGTTGGCAGATGTATTCATATTTCATTCCTTTTTATTACTGAGTATATCCCATCATATGGATATTCTAAAATTGGTATATCCATTCCCTTATTATTTATCATTTAGGTCATTTCCAGTTTGGAGCTATTAAAATAAACCTGCTGTGAACATTCGTGTGCAAGTCTTTGGGTGGACATACACTTTCATTTTTCTTGGGTAAATATTTAGGAATGGAAAGGCTAGGTTCTATAGTAGCTGTATGTTTGGCTTTTCAAGAAACTGCCAAAATATGTCCCATTTTGTACCACTGGAAAATGTACCATGTAACATTCCCATCAGTAATGAGAGTTCTAATTATTCCACATGCTTTCCAGCACTTGGTATGGTCAGTCTTCTTAATTTTAGCCATTCTAGTTGGTGCGTGGTCCCAGCTCATTGTGGTTTTAATTTGCATTTCCCTAATGAATCAAGATATTGAGCATCCATGTATCTTCTTTGGTGAAGTAGCTGTTCAAATATTTTGCCCATTTTTTATTCACTTACTTATTAGTGAGTTGTAAACTTTTAAAAATCTATTTTAGATAGAAGTCTTCTGTCAGATACATGTTCTGCAACCATTGTCTCCCAGTCAGTGGCTTGATTTCTCATTTTCTGAATGGGGCTTCTCTGAAGAGCAAAAAATAGAAATGAATTCCAATTTATTGACTTTTCTCCATTTTTCATAGTTTTTGTGAAATACTTACCAAACTCAAACATACTAAAATCTTCTTTTGTGCTTTCTTCTAGAAGTTTTGTAGTTTAAGCCTTTCTATTTTGGTTTATGATTCATTTTGAATTGTTTTGTATGTGGTTGAGGTAAGGGCCAATGTTCTTTTCTCTTTCTTTTTTGCACATGGTTGTCTAATTATTCCAGCATCTTTTGTTAGACATTATACCTCTCCCTTTGAAATGCTTTGTAGTATTTATCAATTTACTAAATATATGTGGGTCTATTTCTAGATTCACTATTCTTTCCATTCATATGTTTGCATATATTTATGAAAATACTGTGCTGTCTTGATTAGTAAAGCTCTATAATGTGCCCAACAAGGCCACAGTCTTATGCTTGTTTTATATGTGATGTCCAGGGTTTTTAGTTGTACTTTGTGGGAGAACAAAGGGAAAGTATATCTACTCCATCTTCTTGGAAGCAGAAGTCCTGATGCATTTTTAAAAGCTGGCCACTGGTTCCACTTTCACAAAAAAAGTTTTCCTGTGAAATAAGGGCAGCTTCCCAATGTCCTTCAAAAGAAATGGAAAACATGTTTGCAGTAGGAGACAAGAGGATCAGCAAAGTTTAGACCATCCCAATCCACCTGCTGAGACATCATACCAGGGGCCAAAAGCTACTGCCAGAAATGCAAGATAGCGAGATGAGAATACTGGTGATTTCATCCCCTGCTGATATAGACCTAACTGTCTGGGGTCTAAATGGCTAAAATCTGCTCGTTCTTCTCTGTCTTCCCCTCAACTCCAACAACCATGCACATCTCCACTGTCCACAAACCTTTCAGAGACTCGATTCTCTTCTTTCTATGATTTCACCTCCTTTTCCCAGGCAGAACACATACAATGAACATAGGTACCTCAACTTCCAGCACCCAACTTCCACTACCAATGGCTGCTGTGGCCATTTTGTGTGAATAAGAAAGAAGCACCCTTTCCTCAAAGCTCTTTACTACCATCTGCCCCAAAACAGTCATGGTTACTATTCAAAACCAGGATGACACTGCAGTCAGTAGTGCTCCCTGGATTTGTGAAATGCACAACCTGCTCAACTTCAGAGATCCTAATGACTCTACCTGTGCCTGTCCCCCTCCCACCCACCCTGTGTTCTTCCTCTTCATAAACTATTCTTGGGCATGGGTCCATATGGTCATGAGCTGATCAACACTAAAAATCCCTGGCTCCTTCTCATCAATATCTAAACAAACTTATGTTTCTCCAGTCTTAAAAAAAATAATAATAATAACGTCTTCCTTCCGGTAGCCTTCTCATTTCCTCACAGGCAACTTCTTGGAAGATTTGTCTATGCTCATTTGTCTCCATTTTCTCACCACCACCTTCCCTTGCTCCTCAACTCACTCCAAGCTGGCCTCCTCCTACCATTCAAGGAACCTGCTCTAGCTGATGGCAATGCCTGTTTGGGCCTGGCATTTCTCAGTCTTCGCCTCCCTAATTTCTCAAGAAAACTGATCCAGTTTACAACCCGAAGTGCTCTTCCCTTGCCTTCTGCAATGCCACATTCTCCTGGTTTTTCTCCTAGGGCTACCTGCTCCTCCTCCACCTCTGCAAGTAGAGGAGCTCTTGGGGTCTGTCCTGGGCCTCTTTCCCAAATGGTATTCTCTCCACCAGGCAATATCCTCCATGCTCCTGCTCCATTCTCATCCCCATCCACGAATCTAAGACACAGACTTTCATTCGAGATCCAAACAGGCACATCCCACGGCCTGCTAAGCTTCTCCACTCGAGGGTCCCGCAGGCTCAACATGTCTAAATCCACACTATTTCGCCAAATCTGCTTCTCCTGTGTTCCCTTCCATTATGCGGTTCCCTACCACTCACCCTGCTGTCAGCCTCGAAGCCTGGGGGTCACCCAACTCTGCATATTTCACACACCCAATCCACCACCGCCTGCCTCCCAACTCTCTCCATCCCTCCCTCCTCTATGCACCATGCCGAGGCTCTAACCCAAGTAACCAAAGTCGAACAAGCCTCCGAAGATGCCCGAGACCAGCTGTGCCTACGTACTAGGTGCTTTGTGCTCCGGAGGCCTCCTGCTTCAGGGTCCATCGCTAGGTTTGAACTCAGGAGGGAAAGCGCCAGGTCGGTCCTGTTCACTGATTTCTGGCGCACCCTCAGTGCCAGGCACCAGTTAGGTCGGTAAATACTCGTTAGAACGACAGAACGACAGAAGGACAGTGAAAGACAGAGTTCATCCTCTCTGCTGGGCGGCTGGAGCTCGGAACCCTAGGGGCCGCAATCCCTATCCGCCACACACAACATGGCGGCGACTTAGACCTACGTCCCACTTCCGTTTCCTGTACGTCACTTCCTCCCCGGTTGCCCTGGAGCCCTTTGGAAAGCTAAGAATACGGGGAGTCTCTGTTCCCTTTCTCTTCCAAATTCTTGCTTCTGCTGCAGCACAGTCTGACCGAGCAGTTTCGAGGCTCTGCCGCCAGCGGCTTGTTGGTGAGAGAGGGACCGCAGGGAGGGCCTTCTGGGGTGTGTGCGGGGGTGGGGGGGAGAGGTGGTTCTGGGGGAGCGAGGGATGGAGTGGGGGGAGGTGGCTGGGAGGTAGGTCAAGAAAGTTTATGTTGCAAGCCCACCCCCAAACCAGTTATTATTGGAAGTGGCACATGGGGTTACGTGGACAGAGACGATGCTTAACAGCTAGGACTTCATCGCCATAAAATGTGTGCGCGGAAGGCCTTAGCAGCCAGAAAACCATTACTTCTCCTTTAAGATTTCTGTATTAAATGGGCCCAGCCACCACCTACACCTGCTGTCTGGTAACCTTTCCTCCTGTGTCTGAGGTCATGTCCAGCACGAGAAAGAAACTTGTTGGTTTTCATTAGTGGCAGGCACCATTCTTCACATTTCTCACCCTTTATTGAAAGGGCAGTGAAAATCCAAGTGCAGGAAGCACTTTTAAAGGTCTGAAAAGGTTACAGGAGACCAGAGCCATTGACTTTTATTTATTTATTTATTTATTTATTTATTTATTTATTTATTGAGTAAGAGAGAGAATCTCAAGCAGGCTCCACACCCAGTGCAGAGCCCGACATGGGGTTCCATCTCAGGAACCCAAGATCATGACCTGAACCAAAATCGAATCAAATGTTTAACCGACTGAGCCACCCAGATGCCCTGACTTTTATTTTTTAAACGAAGATCTCTTTTACTTGAAGAAACTTAAGGATTTTGGCATCCTAGGATGTGCTGTCAGATTGAAAGTAGTAGCATTTTTGCCATAGATCAGAAGAGAGATGGTCCCCAAATGAGTGTCCCCTGACTTGCAGACGAAATGAGCACAGTCAAGATCTTCTTCAGTAACCACCTTGGCTTTGGAACAGGTTTCACAGTTCACCCTTCTTCAAACCGGTCCTCACATCTCCACATTCAGTTTTGCTTAGTTGTTCATGTTTTTGGCCTGATCAGTTTTTGTTTTTGTTTCTGGCAGGTGCTGTGGAAGCCCCCAGGTAGCTGAGAAGTTGATGGAATTTTCTTACGGTCCAACTTTCACTATTGCTTGTGTTAGAGTGTGAGGTAAAGGTGAGCAGACATTTCTCAAGTACACTGTTTACTTAACAGCACACTGCAACTTGACTTCTGAAAGTCAAGAGGAACAGGTTTGCACAACTGTTGTGTATGGCATAGAAAGGATATGTCATCTGATAATAGAAACATAGCTTTTATGCTAATAAAATGCTTTTAAAATTAGTGTGCAGTTTTGGGTAATTAGCGTATAATTTCAGTTATCGATTGGTTCATAACAGACTAATTAGGTACCCCCCGAGTCATTTATCTAAATGACTGTTCTGCTAAATTGTATTTGTGGGCATTGATCAGAGCTAATGGGAAAAAGAGATTAAGATGAAAATCATGGGATTAAATTTTTAATTAGTTTGCCCCCCGAACAGTTGTTTGGTGTGACACAGTGATTGATTGGCTACTTATGCCTACCCAGCAAGGATGTGGCTCTACTACCAAACTTCTGAACAGAAGAGTGTTTTACAAAAGACTGAATATTTTATTCAGTTATCTTTCTCTTTATTTCTGCTTAACAAGGAGTTGAAAAGGAAGGCAATGTGTGGGGATCTCATAGTCCTTTGTCTGGTGGTACGTATAAAGTATGAGATGAGGGCTTCAGTCAGTTCATTAATAAATATCTCAGACTTAATATGTCTAAAATAAAACGATTTCCCAGCCCCAACCCCTTCTGTTCCCAGGGTTCTTATCTTGACCAGTGGCACCACCACGTATCCACATGTTCGAGGCGCAAACCCAGGAGCAGTCTTGATTCCTTCTTTCTCTCATTCCCTACAGCTTGTCCATCAACAATTTCTATCAACTTTTCTTCCAAAACGTACCCAGAATCCACCCACCATTCTCATCTCCACCACCCTAACCCAAACACCATCATCCTTTACCTGGTGAACTGCAACACCCTCTGATTCTGGTCTCCCTGTTTCTAATCTCATGACCCATTTCTACCCACCTGCCCCCCACCCCATCCAGTCCATTCTCCACATGACAGCCAAAATGGTTGCTTAAAACATAGGTTAGATTCTATCACTTCTCTATCTAGAACCACCCAGCATCTTTCCACGCTAGTTACCATGTCCTACAAGCCCCTGTATGATCTGGATTCATCTGGGACCACTCCCTACCCCTCCACTCGTTATGACCCAGCACAGTGTCTCTCTCTTCATCTGCCAAGTTTGGACCTGCCTATGGGCCCTTGCACTAGTTCTCTCCCCTTTGCCTGGAGCTCTCTTCTTCCCAGTGTTTGCAGGGCTGGATCTCTCTTGTGTAGACCTAAGCTTAAAGGTGACCTCCTCTAATAGGCCCTTTCTTTACCACTTAAGCAACAGTGGGCTCCTATTACTCCCGTTCACACCATCCTAATTTGCTTTCACCACGACACTCCTCATTATTGCTAATTTCTTGTGTCTTTGTTTATTGATTGTCTCCCCCTACTCCTTTTTATGAACTCCATGAAAGCAGAGCTCTTGTCTTGGGTGTAACTGTATCTTCAGAGCCCCATGAGTCTCCAATGCGTGAATGAATGAATACACGAATGAATAGATTTCGTTGGCACCAAGATGATTACCATCTCATCTCAGGTACACTGAAGGAAGGCTGAGAAGGGTCAGGGGACCAAATAACACATAGAATGGACCTTAAAACACGAGATGTGGGCAAGGATGCAGAATGGAGAGAGGCAGGAGAAATGTTTGGGGTGGGAGGCAAAGGGACAGTGAAGGTAAATGGAAATGATATCGTGCAACTCTATAGATACATCCTAGAAATCCTAACCCTTGGGGGGCCTGGGTGGCTCAATCGGTTAAGTTTCCAACTCTTGGTTTCAGCTCAGGTTGTGATTTCAGGGTCGTGAGATCGAGCCCTGCATCGGGCTCCGTGCTGAACGTGGAGTCTACTTGAAATTCTCTCTCCCTTTTCTTCTGCCTCTCCTGCTTGTATGCTCTCTCTCTCTCTCTCTCTCTCTCTCTCTCTCTCAAATAAATAAATAAATAAATCTTTAAAAAGAAAAAGAAATCCTAATGCTTGCACAAGTATGCACCTGCATCCACATACACACAGTCTGGCTGAAGAACAGTGGCTCTCTGTGTTTGCTGTGTCCCTGAGTCTTACAGAACACATTTCCCAGGTAGACATGCTCGGGCTTCAGTGTCAGAAGAGTGTGATTCAGAAGTCTAGGTGGGGCCCACGTGTCTGCTGCTGGGTAATCCTTGTAGGCTGGTGTCATTCTTGGACAGGACCATAAAGCTGGGTAAATACTAGCAGCTTGGAGAAGACAGCATGGCATCCTGCAGTGGTTCTGTTAAATCACCCAGTGGGGTGAGCCTGAGCCCCAGTTTCCTTCAAATATAAAGTGAAAGCCTTACTTGGACTCCTGTGTAACTTTAAGACTCAAACTTAACTGAAACTGGGTATGTGGGATCCCCTCCTCCCTGAGGAGCAAGGGGCCTATTTTTTACCTTGAACCTTGAACCTAAGGCCTACATCCCCATTTGGCAATTCCACTTAAATGTCACATTTTGTCTAAAAAGCACTTTACCATATTATGCCACCCAATATTTATGTTGCTAGCCAGTGAAAATGTCAGGAGCACATTCTGCTGTGAAACTGTGCTGAGCGGGTTCAGACCTATTCTCTTACTCTAGGGTAAATTTCAGGGGCTAGGGTTGAAGGAGAAAAAGTGACTGTACCATTGGTGCCCAAGCTTAAAAAGCTGGGGGGAAACGGAGCTTTGACTTTAATCCTTTCATCAATCTTCCTCACCCCCAATTGGTCAGTAAAATTCCTGGGATCAGCCTCCTCTTTTCCATGCATCCCTCGGCTGGCCCTTTTGCTAATCCTTGTCCCCCTTTGAGGCTGCCTTTGACTTTTTTGAAAACTGAAATGCAGGCTTTGTTGAGATCCATGCAGGGCCCCATGTTGCACGTAGATTTCATGGCCCTTAGTCTCCGCCAGTCTGTGATAACTCCTCATTATTTCCTTGTCCTTCACGACCTTGTCACTTTTAAAGAGGCCTGGTCAGCTATTTTGTAGACTGTCCTTTGATTTGGATTAGTCTGCTGTCTCCTCGTGATTAGACTAAGGTTTTGAGGTTTCCACAAGGAAATCACACAAGTGATGCGTCCTTTTCGGGGTACCATATCAGGTGCCCTAGGGAATGCTGGTATGTTTTGTTTCTGGTGGTGGTAATCTTCACCACCTGGTTACGGTGGTGACTGTCAGGCTTTTCACCGTAAAATGGAGAATGCCAGTTGTAATTCCTGTATATTTGGGGGGAGATGTTGGGAGATGCCTTTGGCATTATTTGTAATGAGATGTTCCTTCTAGGTGTACGTTGGGATGGAGGTGAGGGCAGGCGGTGCGTTTTGTTCAGCGTGTATGCCAAGTCTAGATCGGAACTTGCCATGATTATGCTGCATGAAGTCAGAGCTAAAGAAGCCTGTGCCCCTGTGAGAAAGAGCTGTGGCTGCATCTCAATACACATAAAGGAAAATGCGGTATGACCTGTTTCTGTTGTGTTTGGGGGCGGTGTACGTTGTTAATTAAACGGAGTCCTTTTCATCCATGGGTTCGTTCAGCAAATGTTTAGTAAGTAAGAGTTGGTAATTAGTAAATACTAAATTACTAAATAGTAATTTAGTATAGTTAGTAATAAAGGCTAGCATTTTTCAAGTGCCTGCAATTTGCCCGGCGCAGTACTAGGCTCTGCCTTTCTTATCTTGGTTCAAACTCACAACTCTTTAGAGTAGGTGGTATTGCCAGCTTTATAGGTAAGGTTCCAGAGGTTTAAGGAAGCAACTTGCTCGAAGGCTACTGGGCCTTGAACCCAGGGCTGTCTAACTCAAAATTGTGTGCTCTTTCCCTGGCACCAAGCTTGCTGCCTTCCAACATGCCAAGCGCTGTGATCAGTGCTGAGGATACAGAGTGTAAGATCCACGTTGGGGAAGAGCTCATACTGTCTAGCACAGGAGGCCTCTGGCAGAGGCCTGGGGGAGAACCTTCTCTCGGGGTGGGAGGGTGTCACCCTTTTGTTCTGAGTGGCAGTTCCTCAGCCTTGAGAACCACCAAGCTGGCTTTTCTCAGGGCTTTACTGAGTCAGGGTGGATTTTCCAGGTGGCCTTCAGCTACAGACAGTTAACCAGAGAAAGGACTTAATGCTGCTGGCTTGCTTGCTCTGCTTTTCGTTGGCCATTATTCATCTCAGCCAGCCTACGAAGTGGTTATATTATGTCCACGGAGCTCGTGAGGAAACCAAGGCTCAACAGGGCTAAAGAAGATGCCCTGTGTCACCAGCCAGTAAGTGGCTGAACTGGAGTCTGATCCCAGATCCGACTGATTCCACAGTGTATCCCTGGTCTTCAGTACCCTTTGCTATTCCAGGGAGTACAGATTCCAGCATCCTCACCACTCATGGGACTATGTGCCTGTTGTCTTCTTATTTGTACAAAGGATGAGCATGTTTATGTCGTGCCTGATGGACACTGACGGCAGTTCGTTTGTCGCAAGTGTTGTGAGTTTTTCCCCCCCCAAACCAAAAGATCTTCGTGCAGCTTTTGCTTTTTTTAACCACCTCCTCCCACAGTCAATCCATGTCAACAGAAGGAAACTGGAAAGTGATGATTCTGAATCATTTGCGACATATAAAATGCTCCCGTATAAATAAGCATGCTTCCCTAAGAGAGATGGCATATGGCAAGTCAAGTCTCTCTGTTCCCTGGCTTTTGATGAGAGAGTTCAGTGCCTCCCGGAGTCAGGGCTTCACAGATAGCATCTGCTGCGGCTGCTAATAGTCTGTGGCCTTCATGTCGCAGGGCATTTGCCAAACTGTCCAGTGAAGGAGGGGACGGAAAAGGTCTGTCATTCCCCCGCTTCTTCCATTTTGGCATCTCCCCAGCTCTACATCATTGTTCTTTCTATTGCTTGTTGGTTTTGAAAATGTAAAGACAAAGCAACGCAGCATTCAGTGCTTAAAAAGGAAAAGGCAAACTGATTATTAGCAGTCCTGGGGAGTAGAATGGGGAGACCACCTGGCAGTCCAGTGTAGTAAAGTTACTCCGTTTTGTCCCTGCCATATATGACTGAGGTTCATTGATTACCTCGACTCTGCTACTGTTGTTTAGAGGCAGTGAGAACGACCCAAAAGCGGGATTAGCAGTAGCTGTGAAGAAGAGTGGGTATAAGGAATTGGAAGATGTTCTTCTTTGTCCCATCGTAGTTTGGACTATGCCAGACCCTGAGGCAAGGACTCATTTGGGAGTTACCGGAACCAATGATCGGGAATTAGGGAGAATGAACTGGAAAGGGGAAAAAGTCAATAAAGGATGTGTTAATCAAGCTAGACGCTACTGTAGGGACTGGAGCTTAATAATCCAACTGGTGAAGCCTGGGGAGACAATGCTGTAGAGCGCATGTCAGAATTATCCAGTGTTCTCCCATTCCACTCAGGGGAGAGAGCTGGGGTATTTACACACCAGCTTCTCAGGGCCAGTGATTGAGGGCTGCTCCCATGAGGTGTGCTGGGCACACTGGTGGTTTCTGTAGCTTGGGAGGAAGTTCTCAGGCAAAGAGATGCAAATGCTGGCCATTGGAAGTCATCCAGTGTGCACTGATGTCGTAAGGCGGGGCTGGTACGGATAGCATCTCTCATGTGCCCTTAAAACAAAACAAAACAAAACAAAATACCCACTCCCCCTCTGGTGTCCCCCATATCATTAAATAGCACCACCACTTACTCAGTTTCTCATGCCCAAGACCTTGGAATTTTCCTTGACACATTTTTTCTTTTTGCTCCTGCCTCACATTCAGGCTATCTCCAAATCCTGTGAACCCCATTTTCAAAATATGTCTTTAATCTCACTACTTCTCATCATCTTCACCATCATCTTTCAGTGAAATTCTGCAGTAGCATCCTAGCCCAAATTCTGCCACAGGGTAGACAGAGTAATGTTTTTAAACCTCAATCATGTCATCTTACTCCCCATCTCAAAACCATCTAGTGGCCTCTTATTCTTAGAATAAACTCCGAAGTCCTTACCATGTCCTAACAGGCCCTGGGTGATCTGGCTCCTATCCATGTCCCTGACTTCAGTTTCCATCCAGTCTCCTTGTTCACAAGTAATCCAGCCACATTGGTTTTGTTGCCCTCCCGCCTCAGGGCCTTTGCACTTGTTCTTTCAACATAGAACACTACTGTAGATACCCACGTCACTTAGTCCGTTAGATATCCATGTCACTTAGTCAGCAAAAACAATCAGGTTTTTGCTCAAATAATCACCTCCTTAGGGAGGACTTCTTGTAATACTCTATCTAGAAAAGAGCCTTTTGTCACTCTTTCCTTAGTCTGTTCTATTTCCTTTTTCCACAGCAGGGATCATGACCTGGCAGATTGTAGTTTATGTTTTTATTTGTTGCCTGTTCCTGCACTAGAATGTAAGTACCCTCAGTGGGAGGACTTTGATTTGCTGTATTACCCCTAACTTCTAGAATAGCACTGACACATAGTAGGTATTCAATAAATATCTGTTGACTGAATGGATTAATAACTGTTTGCTGGTCCTGCCGAGAGCAGCCATCAGTCAAGGACTTTCAGGACAGACAGCAGAAATTGCAAACTTCAGTTTGATAACCGCCTGGCTGAATCTTTTCCCAGAGCTGCCTCTCCTGAGGAACACACACTCTTAGTAGAATCAGTTGAAGGTCCTAGGCTCCTTCCAATATGTTCTTTCTTGACGTCCATTGCAAATTGCAACTTGTTCATTTTTCTTTTTGTTTGCCTTTCTGAGAACAATAGTGGGGACATCAAGGTAACCAGTGTGCTACCAGTCATATATGATGGGACAAAGTGTGGTATCATTTTTTAATAAACTGGAATGTGAAGTCAGTCATTTCCCCTAGTGCCTGGCACATAGTAGGTGCACACCGCATGTTGAGTAAATTGACAGTGTCATCTTTTGGATGTTATTAAGCTTTGTGTGTGAGTTGTCCTGCCAAAGGTTTTGCATTCTGTGGCCCACACTCTTAAAGACACTGAAGAGTGAGGAGATTTTCTCCATTTTCTCCATTGCTCTCCCTTCCCCACCAACCCGGACAGCTCTTAACCTTATCCGCACCTGTCCCTTCTCATACGTACCATCCCATCGTCCTAAAAATAGTCCAGAGAGTCGGCTCTCTCTCTGCTGTGTGTGGTTTAAGACAATTTAATTTATTCCATTATAAAAGTTACATGTATATAAAGTAATGCAAGCTGATTTTAGCAAATGTATAAACTACAGAAAAGTAAGAGAGAAAAAGAAGAAAAAAACCACATGAGTCTACCACCTGGAGAGAGCACTGTTAATGTGTTGGTGTATTTATTTCCAGTGTTTTCTGTGTGTATTTTTACATAATTTAATAGACAATTTTAAGTCTCTTTTTATTTAACATCATAAGTAAATATTCTTGATAATTAGGTTAGTGTTCTTCGTTTCCAACACTTTGTAAATATCTTCTTTAGCAGTTGTGTGCTGGTCCATTTCCCTGTTGTGGATCAAACTTAGCTTGTTTTCTGTTTCCCAAAACTATAAGTAATGCCGGGATAAATACCCTTTACCCGTACCTCTACTGGCATCGCTAGGTTTCTTTAGAATAGAGTCCCAGAAATGGAGTAACTAGCTCTAAAAGATACAAACTCTTAATACACTTTGTGAGATTTCATTTTGATTTCTAAAACTGTTGGTATGTGACTTCCATAAAAGAGCCCTAGGAAAGCTGATTGCCTCGAAGAATTTACTTCCAGTTTTGAAATGTTTCAGACCCAGAGAGTTTTAGCATTCAGCTGAAATGAGCACAGACATCTTCTGTAGCCCATCTCCACTTTAGGCCTCTTCCCCCCCTAATAAAATGCGGCAATGGCATTATAAAAATCCTTCTTTGGTAGACAACATATGTTTGTGTTCTCGAGGATTAAGTTGTTCTGGCAGGTATTGGGTTTATGCCTAGGATTATATGTAGTATTTTTCATGCCTACTTCTGATGCCTTAAGGGTTTAGTGATGCTTTCTGGTTTTTTTGTTGCCAAAAGGAAGTCCAGATTTCATGGCAGTGACCTGCATTTACACATCCGAGTCCTGCCTGAAAGGCCAGAACTGGACCTTCACTGGCGCTGCTCCTTGGGCACATTATATGGATAAGGAGTTCTCTTTCCAAGACTGGGCCAGCCTGGAAAGGGCCTAGTTAAATTTAGACAGTTTATCAATGGAGGGAAACCATGACATTCATCATAGAAATGAGTGGTCAGGCATAATATATTAAAAGAATATCCAGGAGATAAAGTATCCAGGAGAGTCAAGGTTGTAGGACGGTTTGGAAACCTATGGCACACTCATACTACATAATCTCATGCACGCAACATTATTAAAAAGAATGAGTCTGACACCTCTGTATTGACATGAAAACATGCCCATGCTATTTTGTTAATTCTAAGTAGCAAGTATGGTTTGATCCCACATTTGTAAAAAAAAAAAAAAAGGCAAAAATTGGGTTCAGGGGAGACTTTAATATCTACATGAACCAAAAGAAATATGTGTAAGGACACACATCAGGCTGTCGGTAACTGACTCACTCAGGAGTGTGGAATTGAGTTAGAGGGGAATGAGGAAAACTTGGCTTTATACAATTCTATCGAGCCCCATGGTACAAAGAGCATGTGTTACTTTTATAACTTAAACAAGGAGGAAAACTAGTAAAGAAGAGTACTGGAGACAGGACTAGAATGAGGAATGAGGCCAAGGAACTCCTTTATGGGTAGGCCCCATGCAGGGCTGGGGTCTCTGTCTTGGCAAGGCTGGTGCATGCTCCACAGGAAGGCCCAACTTCCTAAAAGAGGGGGGCCGAGTTGGCATGTCCCTCCCCGGGCAGCAGTTAGAAAAATCTCATGTGTTAGTGTTCACCTCAGTGTCACACTAGGAAAGGCTTCTGGAAAAAAAAAATTGGAATGATCCGGACAGAGTCAGGAGTTGCTCTCCTTCCTCTGAGGGCTTGAGGGAGGGTGACCAAGAGGGGAGAGAAGAACATCCTCTAAAAGCCCCAGAATGGAAGAGATTGATTGGGCCTCCGAACCAGAGTGCACTTCCTGGCCATCTGTGAGGCCGGCAGGCCAGGCCTGGAGCTGGGCTCTTATTGCCCTTCTTCCCCCGGGGAGCGAGCGCTGAGGTGCGTGTCTTTGAAGAGTGATGGCTCCGAAGCTACATGGCTCCCAAACATGATTTATTTACATCCTACTTGTGAACTAGGGTGTGTTTACCGTGAAAGGGTGATTTAGACGGTGACGGGTCTGCTGGATATTTAAAGGGATAATTGAGGGCGCCTGGGTGGCTCAGTTGGTTAAGCGACTGCCTTCGGCTCAGGTCATGATCTTGGAGTCCCGGGATCAAGTCCCGCATCGGGCTTCCCTGCTTGACAGGGAGTCTGCTTCTCCCTCTGACCCTCCTCCTTCTCATGTGCTCTCTCTCTCTCATTCTCTCTCTCTCTCAAAAAAAATAAAAAATTTAAAAAAAAAAAAGGGATAATTGAATCTCAGAGTCTATTAAAGACTGTTGTCTTACATCTTGTGGGATGACATTTTATTACAAGGGCCCACTTGGCTCTCGCATCCAGTTTCTTCTCTTCCCTTCCTCCCTTTCTTCATTATCTTTCAAAAATTAGATTTTCTCCTTGCCCCATCCGAAGTCGCAAAAACGCCCCCGAGGAGAGTCAGGCTGTCTGAGAGGAGTCCCCCAGGGGATGTGGCGGTTCAGTGGGGGCTCTGGAGTCGGCCACTGACCTTGAATCTAAGCCTCAATTTCCTTACCTGTCAAATGCGACAGCGTTTTCCTAGTTGTCACGAGGATACCAGGGGTCGCTTAGCCCAGTGCCGGGGAGGGGAGTGCACGTCAGCTGTTCTAGTCAGAACTTTTGTCACCCCCGAATTCTGCCAAAGACTTGCTCTGTTTCCTTAGGCAGACCAGTTCATTTCCTGGCCCCCCTGCCCCCCGTTCCTCCTCTGGCCGTGGAACACCTGACAGTTAACAGCTCCAGCGAGGCCCACAAAAAGCATCAAAAGCAGCTGAACGGCAGCAAAAATAATCAAAGTCACCCACCCTGGTTCCTCAGTAGAAGCATAATGTGATCTCACTGGGGGCCACTCTCCCCCAGAAAGTGGGGCTTTTCTCTCCAAAGAGCTTGGCATCTGCTCCTCGGGGCCGCTCGAACTGGCCTCGTTCCACGGTCCGATGTGCCAGCGACCTGTGCCCACACTCTTCTGAAGCTGGCTGGGGGCCCTGGCACAGCCCTGCCACACGGCCCGCCAACTCGAAAGGCCCTTTCTTTGGAACAAATATCATCGTACGCGTTGCCATCAAAAAATGAAAGCCTTCACAGTGGCACGGCATCCAGCTTCCGTCTGGGGCCTTTCGGAACAATTTCGTGACCAGAGAATGGCAGGAGACAAAAGGTTTTTCTATCTGATCTGCTCCCCAGGCTGGCGTCGGGATGTGGGGGGCCTGTTTTCCTTTTGCCCTAGTACCACACGGGTTGTTATCACCGTGTTGTCTCTCTCTTTGAGCAGGACAAGGCAGGCAGGCAGGCAGAGGGATATATTTCAACTGCCCTTGACTCTGTTTATAATCACAAACATGAAAGGAAGGGAAAGAGATTGGGTTTATAGGGCTGGTTCTTTGTGTAGTCTAATTTATCTCTCCCAGGCAGCAGTGGGCTGAGCGGGTTTCCTTTTTGTTTCCGATGGGGGAAGCTGAAATATGAATCTATGTTGATGACAGAATAAAGGAATTGAAAGAGGCATAAATCTTATCTTTTTCGCAACCCTGAAAGATCAGCTTCTTGTGAAGAAGGGGATTATACTTCTGTAATTAACTGCTTTGCAGCTCCTGGTGGTGGCTCCGAGCTGAATAATAGCACCCAGCAAAGTTGAAAGAAAGGCAGGCGGGCGGGAGCAGCGGCTGATTGTGGACCACGGTCCCAGGGCCCAGCTCTCAGAGAGTCGTGCCAGGAGACATTTGTCCCCGTCCATCAACATTCACGGCAGAGAGAATAGGATTCTGGAACAAACAGCTCACGGAGACCTGTTCCTCTGTGGGCCGGTAGCTGCCAGGTGCCTTGAAGGCCCAAGCCGGGTCTTACACTCTTTTGCGGTCCAGCCCAGTGCTTGCTACCCGTTAGATGCTTGTTGGAGGTGACTGCCACTTACCAGCCGTGAGATCCTGGGAAAGCTGCCTAATTTCTCTGATCTTCACTGTGGCCATCCACGAAATGGGCGGGGCGGGGACTCTTGTAGAATTCTTGCCAGGAAGAAATTAGATCATGAGCATAAACAAATGACTTATCATAGTGCCTGGCACATGGCCGGCGGTCAATAAATGATAGCTATTATTATTACATTGTGGAATACAAATCGATCGCAAATTCGGCCATTGTAAAAGTCAGCACTTAGGAGGCTCACCACTCACAGGTACGTACGTACACACGAGTACGACCGTGTCCAAGCATCCCATGGGCAGTCTTCTTCCCCCCGCTTCATGGGTGACCAAACAGTCTCAGAGTGGAACAGCGACCTGCTCCAAGTAAGGGGCAGACATGCAGACTGGAGGCCAGGTGTTCTTTCCCCTGCCCCTCCCCCCCATCCCTGGCTTCTCAGAGCCAGGCTCACCCCCCGCTCATCCTGCTTCTCTCCTGTGGTCCCTCACCCACCAGACCTCACCGCCCCAGGGTCAAACCTCCAGGTCACCTTTGCTTGCTCTTCTCCTCTCTGCCACTTGCTGGCATCACTGAGTCCCAGAGATTCTTCTCAGATGTTCCTAGAATGTCTCCCTTCTCAATCCCGCTGCCACTCACACTGACCCAGACAAGCAGGCTTCCAACAGCAAGGGGCTCTCGCGCGGTGTCTCAGGGCTGGCTTCTCTTTCCATCGCTCCACGCCAGGGCCACATGAGCTGTCCCCGTCCCCCCTTACCTGTCCTTCCTCGCTGGGGAGCAGGCCCTCCCCGGCATTTCTTCAGCTGATCTGCCAGAACTTGTCTCTTCCTACTCCTGGTCAGAACCCCCTCCTCCAGCTGAGCCTGCCTCAGTGTCCCTCAAGCACCACCCCGTAGCCACTCTGAGGGCTCAGTGTGTTCAATCCTTCATAAAGACACAGATGTCTGACATAGGCTGCCCCATTCCATGCACAAGCAGCGCTTGACAGAGCCATGCAGCAGAGGGATCATCTATGCCATCCGCCCACCCCTTCGACAGATGGAACAACCTGCAGCTCGGAGAAGTTTCGGAACCAAGTGTCACACTTAACTCTTCTGATTTAGGTTTCAGTGCTCCTCCATCAGACCCATAGGCCTACCACCCTCAGTGATGACTAGTGGCCCCGGCCAGGGGACGGGGGGCAGGCAGTGTGGTTAGTACTCAGCCTGCACGTGGGCCCCGGACTTGTGTGATTCACCAGAGGGTCAGCCTGAAGGCCTGTTGAGGGCAAACGCCTGAGTTAGACACTGGGGGCAGATGTGTGGTGGGCAGAGGCTGGGTTTCGGGGAGAGCTGGAGATTGAGATTTAGGGGGATCATCATGGAAATCAGCACCCGTACGACAGGTGAAAATGGGACTGGATACCAGTCCAAGCAATGTGCTGTGGAAACACAGCAGTTAACTGATAGGAGATGGGATCCGGGAGGGCTTCAGGGAGGAAGTGGCCAGCGCCCTGGATTGAAACACCACAAGATGGCACTCAGGGGCAAGGCATTCTAGGTGGAGGGAGCAGCACGGACAGGAGCAGGGAGGCCAGATGGCCTGGGGTGGGCATGGAGAACAGCACAGCTTGCAGCGAAGGAACCTTCCACAAGCAGAGAGACCTGGATTCGAGCTCTGGCTCTGCCTCCCTTCTGACTCAGGATTTAGGCAACTCACCACCTTTCTGGATCTTAGTATTCTTTTAAGTGAAATGGGCATAAGGACATTACATGTTTCCTGGGGTTATTGTAAGGATAAACCAAAATAGTCACCAAAAACAAGGCCTGGTGCATGGTAGGTGCTCAGCGAAAGGTCCGGTATGGCTGGAACTTAGGTACTGTTGGACCACAGGGACCAGCAGAGGCTTGGGTGAGGCTCTGCGTTTTCTTTTGCCTTCCAGTGGGCTCTTTCTCCTCCTTGCAGGACCTCACCAGCTGGCCTGGGAGGGCTGCTTGCCCATTCGTGGTTGCCAGGATGTTGGCCATTCCCCGGTCCAGAACGATCCTCTGGTGCTGTCATCATCCTTGAGCCCTTTCCAGCCTGAACACACCTGGCGTGAGTGTGCCAGGTCTGGTAAGGTTCGCTGGCAGTGTTTGGGAGCCAGATCTGTATTTAGGTAGAAGCAGACACCAAAGACAGTTGCCAGCTTCTCTGCCTTGGTAAACACGCCGCGAGCCTGGTGCTTTGGGCTTTGTGAGGGAGCAGGGAGCACAAGGTAGGCGCTGCTCACTGCAGCTTGCGGGGTGAGGGCAGGCTCTCTGTTCCGGGCATGTGCCAGCCTCCTCAGGCTGCGGGCGGGGCTGGGGGTTGAGGGATGGGCGGAGTTAGAGGCCATCTTCCTCTGGGCTTCTCGGTCTTTGAGGACTCTAGGTACTTTTGCCATGTAGTGTCTGTGGGACTTTGGGTCAAGTTTTCAACCTCTCTGGCCAGTTGGTCGACAAAAGCAATTCCCGGCATGTCCCTGGATGCCATTCCTCCTTTGAGAGTGCTTGACAAAGTTACCCATGCATCAGAGTCACTTGGGTGGGGGCTAATTAAAAATTCAGATTCCCAGGCCTGGCCCCAGACTCACTGAGGCAGAGCCCAGGAATCGGCACTTTAACAAACGCCCCCAGATGATTCTGGTACGAGTATCCCTGGAACTGCATCTGGAAAATCACTGTCTGCTTTCCAGGGGGTTCCCTGGGAAACCAGAGAAAGAGGTAGTCAGAAGGAGGGGGTTGATGGATGAGGCCAGCATGCTTCTCCTCTTCACATGCACATCTGCATTTATGCTTTTTGACTTTGGCTTGGAAATATGCTCTTAGATGTGTGTCTCCTTAGATGCCATCCCTGTTCAATGACATTGAATGCCATCCCTGTTCTACGCCATCCCCTAGAGTTAGCTCATTTGCCATCCATCCACCCATCATCTGTCCATCCATCATCCATCCACCTACCCATCCATCCATCCATCCACCTACTCCTCATTCATCCAGTCATCTATTCACCATCCATCCATCCATCCATCCGCCCTCGTTTTCTACGTACCTACTGTGGCTGGTCTTTGGAGACACAAGGAAGAATGAGGACTGGTTTTCCTGGCCAGAATTCCCCATCTGGACAAGGAGACAGTCAAGTCATCGTAATGTAGGAGGATTCAGTGATTGATGTCTCAAGTAGATACAGTGATGGCACAAGGTAAAAATGATAGACTCTACTGGCATGGAGAGAAAGTCAAAGAAGTCCTCATAAGACAGCAATTTGTGAGTGGGTCATGAAGGGGGAGTAGGAGTTTGCCCGATGGAGAGGGTGAGTGTGAGTAACTCATTATGCAAAACTCATTTTGCATAATGAGTTAGCTAGAACAACTTAACAAAGAGAACTTAAGCTAAGCGGATAATTGCTAGTATATTTATTTCGAATCCAATTCAGATTATCAGTCAATGAGAGCTTGTTAGGACAATTATGGTATAGGAAGGTAGGTGAGTCCTGTGATGAAATCCCTTCCCATCCAATGTGAGAAGCCTCTCCTCAGGCCCCACAGAGCCCATGTTGTGATGCTGATCTGCAGCTGTAACCTCTAAACTGAGCCCCATATCCTGGCATTTCTGGGTGAAAAGGAACCACTCTCTAGTGTGTGTGTTGCAGGCTCATGATGGTTGTCTCTTACATGGTAAAGTTATTATGGAACTGACAGGTGAACAGCCATCCAGATCGAGAGACACGGGATGCTTCAAGAGCCTGGGGTCAGGTACTGGTTCTGCCTGCAAGTCACTCTGTAACTGTGGACAGGTCTCTGACCCTCCGTGTTCCCATCCGCAAGATGGAAGATTGGCTTCTAGCTCCACCAGCTTCCTGTCTGGAGCACAGCCCTGGCACCCTGGCTGCCACACACGTGTTATCAATGACTTTTCTCTCCACCCCAAGCCCATCTGTTGGAGCACATGAGCAACACAACATCTCAGAGGTTCATTGGATTTGCTTTGAGCCCCCAGCATATCACCTGCCCGCCAAAGCGGCATTTTGCAGGGAAAAAGCAAGGTGGACGCGAGCCGGAAGGTGGCGCTGTGGCTCCGGTTGTGGCTGCGCTCTCCAAAGCAGGACTGTTCTCGGAGTGTCCGCGGAAACCCGGCAGGGCTGATGGCAGGTTTTGCTCCATCTTGGGGCCCTCACAGTTCAACAAGCCCTGCTTATTTGCAGAAAGCAGGCAGGCCTGCCCACTAGGGCCTCCCCACCTCCCGGGCCCCTTCACACATCTTCAGAGCTGTGTCCCTTTGGGTCTTCCCTGGGGGAGAGGAGGAGGAAGCCAGCCTGTTGTGAGTGGCACGTAGGTGGAACAGGGCTCTGTGCCTGGGTTTCCCGGGAGCCTGGTTTTCTGGTGCTCATTGCAGGCAGAGGGCCCTTGGCCTGGAGCTGCCAGATGAGTCTGGGCGGTGATGTGCCACGATGATGTGTTGGGTCACAGCCTGCTTGACCCCCCCCCCCCGCACTATGGACCCCATACTCAGGTGATTCACTTGATATTTTGAAAATACTCCATACTCATCCTGCTGCCTTCTCTCCATTTCTTTGGGTTCGGTCCTTAGCTGAGCCATCTAATAGAGAACCCCAGGGGAGAGAATGATAGGGGGCAAGAAGAAGGAAAGAGGAAAGTGCTGACATTTTTTAAGTGCCTACTGGGTACCAAGCACTTCCACAAGAACTAGAGTAGGAGTTTGTATCCTTTCTTTCAGTGGCATACCCCTTTCCTTCCCGCAGAATCACAGATGAACCCAGCCATGGAAACCAAACACCTGGGCAGCTGCTGTGAGGGGGTTGGGGTGGGGCGC